GAATTTAACTGCCTGCTGCCCACAAGCACACAGACCGCAAACCGGGTGGAATCAGAAGGCTGATAATCCTAAATCCCGATGACCTCACCCCCAACCAATCAGAAAAATGTCCACAAGCTGACTGCACACCCCACAACCCCCTCCCTTACCCTGTCTTTATAAACCTTCTCCTGAAAGCCTTGTGGGAGTTCAGGCCTTTTAGGCACTGCCCACCTGGGCTCCTTGCTTGGCACCTGCAATAGATGCTGCGTTTTCCTATAAAGAGTCATCATCATTACTGTCTTCAGCCTCAAGGGGCAGCCCTCTGGGGCTCCAAAGGTGCCCATTCAGTGGCATTTCACCCAGTCATTAGAGGTGACAGCCACTGCATGCCTGGACCTCCAGCACCCCTTTTCCCATGGGAAGCACTCAAGTCCAGGGCTCCCCACAACCAGCTCCCGATTCCCATCATCATTGTGGGGCTATTTTCTGGTACCTCTACCGGTGCCCGTTTTGCATCCATCAGAGTCCAGGGGTCAGAAACCTCAGGGTCATCTGGCCAGGGGAGGTTTAATACGAAAGCGTCTGCCTGCAATGCAGGAGACCTGGATTCGATCCCTGGGTCGGGAAGATGCTCTGGAGAAGGATATGGCAACCCCCTCCAGTATTCTTGCCTGGAGAACCCCATGGACAGAGAAACCTGGTGGGCTACAGTCCACAGGGTCGCAAAGAGTTGGACATGACGGAGCAACTTCACTTCACTTCAGTACTAAGGCTGCATACTGTCGCCCTGCTTATTTAACTTGTACAGAGTTCATCATGTGAAATGCCAGGCTGGATGAAGCATAAACTGGAGTCAAGATTGCTGGGAGAAATGTCAGCAACCTCAGATATGCAGATGACACCACTCTAAAGAGAGAAAGTGAAGAGGAACTACAGAGCCTCTTGATAAAGGTGAAACAGGAGAGTGAAAATTCAACAGTCAAACATTCAAAAAACTAAGGTCACGGCATCCAGTCCCAACACTTCATGGCAAATAGACGGGGAAAAAATGGAAACACTGACAGGTTTTATTTTCTGGGGCCCCAAAATCACTGCAGACACAAAATTAAAACACTTGCTCCTTGGAAGCAAAGCTATGACAAATCTAGACAGCATATTAAAAAGCAGAGACAGCGCTTTGCTGACAAAGGTCCATACAGTCAAAGTCATGGTTTTTCCAGTACTCATGTTGGACCGTAAATGAGGCCAAGGGCCAAAGAAATGATGCTTTTGAACTGTGGTGTTGGAGAAGACTCCTGAGAGTCCCTTGGACTGCAAGGAGATCCAACCAGTCCATCCTAAAGGAGATCAACCCTGAATATTCATTGGAAGAACTCATGCTGAAGCTGAAACTCCAATCCTTTGTCCACCTAATGCAAAGAGCTGACTCATTGGAAAAAACCCTGATGCTGGGAAAGAGTGAGGGTAAGAGGAGAAGGGGACGACAGAGGATGAGATGGTTGGATGGCATCACCGACTCGATGGACATGAGTTTGAGCAAACTCAGGGACACAGTGAAGGACAAGGGAAGCCCGGTGTGCTGCAGTCCATGGGGTCACAAAGAGTTGGACTGAGTGACTGACCACACTACTATATATAAAGTAGATAATCAACAAGGACCTACTGTCAGCACAGGAGCTGCTTATTCTGTAATAACCTATATGGGAAAAGAATCTGAATCAGGTTGCTGTACACTCAAAACAAACACAACAATGAAAACCAACTATGCGTGCCTGCTTAGTCGTGTCCATCTCTCTGTGACCCCGTGGACTGTACCCCGCCAGGCTCCTCTGTCCATGGGATTCTCCAGGCAAGAATACTGGAGTGGATTGCCATTTCCTCCTCCTGGGGATCTTCCCACCTTAGGAATTAAACCTGCGTCTCCTTCATTGCAAGTGGATTCTTTATCCACTGAGCCACTGGGGAAGCCCTACTCCAATTAAAAAATATTAAAAACAGAAAGAAAAACCCACCACTACAGGAGGACACACTCCAAAGTTGGTAGAACCTGGGGGCGTTGAGGGCCAACTATAAATCATGGCGGGATTAACCCCCACATTCTATAACCGACAACTGTATGTTCGTTTATATTTAATGCATCGTTAGATGCTTCCTATTGTTTTATTCATACTTTTGTTTTGGTTGTCTGTGGTTTTGTATTTATGCAACTTCTACCAGGTTTAGAAAACACTGCTATAGTCATGTCATGAAAAAAATTTCTAAGTTTTCCTTCCCTTGCTGTGATCTTAAGCAGTGTGAGTAACATTGAAATTATCTGAAATTTGAAGGTTTGGAAGAATTCCTCTAAGAAAGTTGGACCTGGCAGTGGATTATTTTTTTTCCCCTCTAATTCTCTTATGGGAATTTGTGTTTAAAATCTCTGTCTCTCCAGTGGTCAGTTTTGCCTCATTATCGGTTTTATCTAGGTTTTTTCAAATTTATTTCCACGGAGTTGTTCCAGGGAGCATGGCTTTCAATTTTTTCCTTCATTGCAAGAGTTTCTTCGCTCTTGGCACATCTTATTCGGTGGTTTTCCTTTCTTTTCATGTTGATTTGGTTAGTTATAGGTCCATCAACTTTGATTCTCTGGCAGCGCCTTGTTCGAACAGGGCCCTCATCTTAGCCGCCCCTTCCTGTCCTTTGTCACCAGGCCTTCAGGAAACCTGCCTTTTTTAGGGCGCCCCCCCCCTCCTCTGGAAGCAGGGTCTCTGCTGCTGCTCTGAGGGTGGTCTGCCCTCACAGGTGGGACCCGAGCTGACGTCACGCCGCCTCTGTTCTGGGGTCCAGGCAGCTCTGCTCGTCCAAGATGTTCACACCCCCACTGACCACTCCCTGCCATCTGTGATGTTTGCTCTTTCCTGGTTAGGCTGTGGGTCTGGGCTAGAGAGGTTTCATATGTTCTTTTTCTGACCCGTTCTCAGGATGTGGGAAGGGATTCCAATTCTGGTGGCTTCCATGACCCTCTGGCGTTTTTTATCGTGAATGTTTTCTTTCCTATTAGCCCCACAGCTGGTGACGCCTCCAGAGCTGTGGTCTCCACCTTTCGGGTTTAAGTGGGGCTTCTCCTGTACGGGACACTGGCCACGTTGTGCAGGTATATGGGGAGTGTGGTCAGGAGAACAAGAAAGTCTGGGAAACTCAGCACAGACTATCTTTCAGAGATTCACAGCACACGTCATTTAAACCCCTGAAAGTCTTGAAGGGTCAGAATTAGGAGTAGAAATGAGCTCCTTCACGACACACCTGCCCACAGTCGGCCCCGCTTTCTTGCAGACCCACTCTGTGCTGGAAGGTGGGGTGCGTTCCCGAGGCAGGTGAGTGCTGAATTGACTACACCTGACTGGAAACACCTCAGGGGGATGCACGGCCACTCTGGGCCACCAGAGTGGCTTCACTGTCCATCCCAGGAACTCTGCCCTAAGGTCAGAGTCGGGCACCCCACTCCCCCAGGGCCCCCACTTCTTACTGGAGCCACCACATCTCAGAAACACTGCAGCTTCCACCCATCTGTTCCTTATTCACCAAGACAACACTACCTGATGGCAAGCCCATCAGGGGCCATCCATGTGACGGGCTGGCATGTAAATATCATAGAGCATTGCATCTTCTATAACATCAGGATATGTTAGGGGAGAAAAGGAAAGACAACTGGCACACACACACCTCTGAACTGTACGCTGTGGTACAAGACGGAGCTCCACCGCTACGGAAGTCTGGGAAACTCAGCATAGACTACCTCTGAGAGATTCACAACACAACGTCATCCTTCTAAGAGGCTCTGCAGGACTGACGGTTTAACTCTGTCTGATCCAGCATCTCCTAGATGGTTTCCATGGTGAAACTCTTCCTTCACAAGGGGCACTGAGCAACACTTGCAGACTGTTTGGGGCACGCCCCAAAGGTCTGGACCAGGGAACCAAGAAACGTGCCCAAAGAACAGGGCAGAAGATGGGAGACCAAACCCTCAGTCATAACTGCTGTGGGGGGCGGGATCGCGAATGAGTGAGTTCTCCCCATGCTTGTTATGAGTCTGTGCTTCCCAAGTGCTCCAAATATTAAACCATGTTTGATGAAGTTAAAACACAACGAGCAAAAGCCTCCAGCCCTCGCCCAGACTATTCCTTGAATTAACAAGGGAGCGCAGGACCCAGCCACTTCCCTAGGTCCCTGATATCACCGTGAACCACCGACGCACATGGCGCATTAAGCTTCCTTCTCTGGGCGTTGGTACTCTTCGGGTCATCCAACAAACATCTACGAAAGCCCTGCTTTGTGCCACGTGTGGTTGGGATCACAGTTGTGCAAGGACCTGACCCTGTCGCACTGAGAGCAACCAGTGATCACGCTCCTGAACAGACAACGACGCAAACGCACCGCAGAGCAGGTAGTGGCTGAAACCAGCTGCAGGGAACAGACGCTAACTCAACAAAGGCGCGAGCATCCTCCTATGTTTGGGGAACGGCAGGGGTCACGCTTGCACAGGCCCTGAGACAAGGGGAAGACGGCTTTCCTGGGCATCTGAAGGGCTAGCGCTGCTGGAGTGAAAGGGGACGGCGGGGGTGAAGTGGGGAGGGCAGGGGGACAGACATGCAGCCCCTGTCCAGGAGCTTCTGCAGGTTTATTTTTAATCCTGAGGGCAGCAGGAAGTCTTTGACGTGCCTTCAAGCAGGCAGCACCTTTAGAAGACCCCTCTGGTGGCAGTGGAGAGGGGTTGAGGGGCCCACTGTGGCCGCCGGGAGCCCAGGTACTGGGCTCTAGTCCGGGTACCGAGCCTGAGGGCAGGTAGCCGCGAAGAGGCACGGGGAGGCGTAAGATCTCAGGGAGGTCAAAGCCAAGAGGGCTTGGTGACAGCACAGACTTGGAGGGTCAGGACGAGGACGGGCGTCCAGAGCGCTTCCTAGCTCTAATCTGCACCCCTCGAGGTGATGCTGTTCACCAACGGGGTGGGGGGCCCGGGGGGCCCAGCTCTGTCTGTGATCATGGATTTGGTCCTGGACAAAGAGTTTGAGGTGCTACTTACTGGAGGACCCCAGGGAGGTGGGTGTTCAGAGGAGAGGTCTGGGCCGGAGATTCGAATCCAGGGATTTCTCCAGGAAAACGGAGGGCAGGCTGTGTGCCGAGAGGAGGAAGGGAGATGGCTTTCTGTGACCCCGAGGCCAGCACTCAAGGCTCCGGGGAGGGGTGTCAGCCAGCAGAGGAGACTGAGGAGGCGTCCCCGCACCGCCCCCCGTCACTCCCGAGATGAAGGCGAGAATAGAACCAAGGATGCCACGTGTTCCACCATGGGGTGTGTGAACAGTTTTGAAAGCTGCCAAGAGATCAGGCAAGACGCGAGCTACGGGACACGGCCAGTGAGCAGGAACTGCTCCAGAGGAGCCCTACCGCGTCCTCTGTGTCCCCGGCTCGACTCTCGGGGGCAGGAGCTGCAGAGAGCTGAGAACTCACACACCCTCAGATCAGCCAGTGGTTGTGCCGTGACCCCCGCCCCCTTCCACCCAGCAGCGCGCTTTCAGCTGCATCTTGACCGCAGCGGTCCTGGGCGGAGCGGCCGGAGGCACCCTCTGCCCCGGGAGCCCACTGTCCCGGGGAGACAAACCTGAAGCAGAGGCACTGGCTGAGCGGCAGGTGGCGGCAGCTCTGTGCGAGGTGACGTCACAGGCTGAAGGACGTCTGCCAGCTCCGGGAACCAGCTGCCCTCCCCTGGAGGGCCCCCCAACCCAGGGCCGCCATCCAGTTGCAGAAACCTGGGAACGCCTTCCAGTGGGAATTCCCCTCTCCGTGGAGGGTGGGCCCCCCGCCAATCGTGGCCACTGACATGAACCTCTGGAGCTGCTTGCAAATTACCTCGTTTTGTTTGTACCGAAGATTTCAAGGGGGGTAGTCTTTGGAGCCAATCTGGGTTTAAGGAAAGGAGAAACAGTACCAGCCAAGCACATTCTCATAGAAGCCCTGCTTCCGGGAGAACAGAATCCACCTTCCTAGCTTCCAGGTCATGTTACCCATCGCATGATGTGGGCTGGGCCTTAGGTGTCTTTCTGCTCACAAGTCAACCCCTTGCCCACCGCCATGCTTCATAGGGTCCATCTCTTCTAACTCAATGAAAGCACAACATTTTGTTCAAAGCTGCTAGGAATTATAAATACCTTGGGGATCTTCTACCAGTGCCTACGTTGTGATGAGTACCTTTATCTTAAGCCATCTGTCACCATCCTCAAATTCACGTCTTCCCAGAGGCCGCAGCCCACCGCAGTCAAGACCAGGGATGGGCTACCTCACCATCCGGGGATTGATGTGTCCGGCCAACAGGGAAACGGCCAGTCTTCCCAGAAAAAGTGAGAACGCGAGCATTTCAAAGGATTTATTTGCTTTCTCCACATGATCACAGCTGTGGTTTTACATCAGTAGAGTCTGTTACTTACAAACAGAATACACAGGGAAACAAAACCATTCCTGTCTCCCCAAAGTTACACGGCAGGTGCTGGGCTTCCCGAGAGCCAGGGGGCCCCTGAGGTCTCAGCAGCCTGCACTCAAGTCCTGGTTCTAATCGTGGGAGACACCTCAGTGGTGAGTGACAGTTCCCCAGAGGAGGCGGTGCTGCCCGAGTGCTCCGCGTGACCACAGGCGGGTCACACGGACATCGGGGCCCCACCCCCACTCCAGCCCCAGGCCGACTCATTCTGCAGCCTGCTTCCTGGATCGCCGCTGCCGTGTTTAAGATACCTACAGAAGGACTCGTTTTTCAGGCAGGGAGGGCGGTGGCGCTTTACAGCGGACGGTAAGGGGCATGCTCACCTGTGGTGACACGGCTTCGTGCGGAGCCGAGTCACGTGTGCTACCTGCGGTCACTTCAGCTTGCCTTAAAACCGAGAGGCTCCTGTGGCATGCAGTGTGGGATGGAAAAATCGCTCAACACCGGACGACTGAGGACATTTTTAAGTAAGAGGCGCACGTCATATTAGGATGAACTTTATTTTTACATTGTTATACAATCCATTCATAAACTTAAAAAAAAATACAAATACATGAGTTTGTTGTTGTCCCAGAAAAGATGTTGGGTGATGGTACCGGCTTGCTTCCTCTAAGGGTCTCCTGCTGAGATAATCTGTGAGCAAAACGCCCCAAGTTCATCCTGACAGTGAGAAAGGACAGGCAGCCTGGCGATGCCCCGCCTCCGCCTCCTGTGCGGGCGGGCGGACCCTGGGGCAGTCTGGGGTCCCGATAGAGCGGTCCCAGGCAAGCTGCCCGGGACCATCAGCTCATCAGGAACGTTTGCTTCCCCACGAGATCGGGGCGGGCCAGCTCCAGCCTCCTCCACGGAACAGTGTGCCTTCTGGGAACACTCATCCCGTGATGTGTTTGTCCCCGAAACGCACACGCTGATGAAACCTCACCGACTGGAACCCCAGCCAGCAGAAAGCTGGAAGCGCCCAGCCCTGTGGACCCAAGAGGTCACAGGTGCGGGGTCTGAATGGCCCACAGGGAGAGGGTGCGCTGTGCCCCAGCTCTGCCCTGCTGGCTTCTGTGCCCCAGCTCTGCCCTGCTGGCTTCTGTGCCCACAGCGATGGCCCTTTGGAAAGGGCGGCCTGGTGCCTGCATCTTTTCTGGAACAACCTGGAGTTTACAGTTAGATCCTACGATTGGTACAGACGGTGAAGAAAAGCCGACATATTTAATATGTTACCACTTTACTTCAACTATTTGTCAACAGTAACACTGAGAGAGTTTTGCAAATACACAATACACAGTGTGGCCTCACGCGCCTGATGCCGGAGGACATGCAGTACAATTCGACTGTTTCCGGTCACGATGATACCCTTGACAGGGCAAGACAGGACGCCTTGGGGGGCCAGGCTCTGCGGGGTGACCAGGGCGTTTCGGGGTCCGCGGAACTGGGGAGCCTCCCCCCACCTCCCCAGCCCAGCCTGGACCAGAACAGACACACCGTGCTTCCCATCTCTCTGAGCGGATGCCCACGGGAGGAGGACCACATGGACGGGAAGATAAAAGGCGGGCAGGCTAAAGTCACACTTCTTTCAAGAAAGAAACAGAAAGAAAAAAAAAAGGCTCAACTCTAGATTGCTGTATTTGTTCTCTGTGGAGATTAACAAAGTGCTCGGTTTGCAGAATTGCTGGTTTGGAGACCTGGATGATGCGGGGTGGGGGAGGGGTGGGGTGGGGTGGGGCGGGGCGGGGCGGGGGTGGGCAGAGTCCCGGCCGCGGCCAGGGCGGGCTCCCCGGGGCTGTCCCGCCGCAGTCCAGGGCCCCGCGCCCATGCAGTCCCGCGCCAGCTTCGCCCTTCCTGCGGGGGCTCCCGCCCGGCAGCGGTCCTCCGGTCCGCGGCCTAGGAGCACAGCACGGGCGGCTGCAGTGGCTCGAAGGGCTGAAACTACAAAGGACGGCCCGTGGGTGACGCCGGCCCCGGGGGAGCGGACGGGGCCCCCCCACACGGAAGCGACAGAGCGCCGCGGGAGAGCCGGGCGCGCCCCGGCGGGCGGCGCGGGGCGGGGCCGGGCGCTCCTCGCGCGGCGGGCTCAGACGGCCCGGAGACGTAACACGGGGGCGGGAGCACACGGCCACATGGAATCACGATGGTCACGGCCACCACTCAGAAAACAAAACAGGAAGCACACACACCGCCCGGGGCGCTAAACGCTAAGAGCAGCAGCCTTCGGTTCTCCGGGGCGTCTGCCTGCTGCGGCTGGAGACAGGATGAGGGGGCTATGGTGCTGGGGAGACGAGCATGAGTTGGTCGCTTTCATGTGGGAGATGAACACCTCTCTGCTGGGTGTGGGGCGCCCGCCGAGGGCTCTGAATGAGTGTGCAGTAAACCAGATGCGTACGAAAGAAATATGGATCATGGAGATTCACAGTTATTGCAGCCATTTAAAGTGTCTAAGAGTCTGGGTAACCAACAGTCCGGGACAACCAGTTCTGAACTAGTGGTCCCGAGGTGCTACGGTAGAGTTTACTGCATTTTTAAAATCTATTTGCTTACCTGAAATAACAGAGCAGTTATAATACTGATTACTTATGATAGTCATCTGTTAATAAAATAAGGATTTATACAAAGCAATATCGGACTCTGAAAACAGTTAGATGCTATGTTACTTGGCACGGTTAGTAGTGATCGCGGTAAAGATTTCAGCCAGTCCTGGGGGTGGGGTGTCTCTTCTTACGAAAATATGGAAGTATCTGAGTTTGTCCCTAGCATTTAAATTTTTGGTCTAATCTCTCACACGTTTGTCTAAGGTTCTGTCTTCCTAACAGGTAAGTGGGGCTCCTTTTAAAGTCTCTATTGCTAATTTTGTGGACTGAAACATTTGCCTTTCACACACAAATACTACCTATACAGTATATATATATATGTATATATGTATTTATATATTTATATATTTATATTATATAAAGTTTACTTACGTATTTTCATCAACCATATCAGGTCTACTTAATTTTTGCCCATTGTCAATAAAAGAGCAATAATGCAGCAAGTTTTGGGTTATGTGTTTGGTTCTGTCTGCTTTTATGTGTCATCTCTTCTTTTCCTAGGCTGGGTCATCACCCCCAGGTACAATGAGGGAGCGGAGCTGGGACCTGGGTGGGGATGGGGGCCAGGGCTCGGTTCAACATCTACTTGGCCGGCAGCACCGTTTCCGGGCTGGTGGTGGCCGAGGCCCAGCTCTGGGGCTGAGGGGCGCCCCCGCCAACTCAAACTGGGGGCTGTGTTCCCTGTGACTCGAGCCCCGGGGCTCGGGGGCTCCGTCCAGGCCGGGGGGCTGAGGGGAGGTGCAAACAGAAGGTGCCCTGGGTCTGGTCTGGGGCTGCCGCCCCTGGGCGCGCCTGTGTGGTGTGCACATGTTCCGGGGGGGCTGGGACCCCCACCCGGGCTGTCTACACAATTGTGCTGATGCCGCTGGGCTTGGCCTTGCTGCTGGTGGGGGGCGGCGGGGCGGGGGGCTGCCCGTGGTGGTGCAGGGCGTGGCCCGCGTGGCCCGCGGGCAGCGGCGGGTGGCCGTGCGCGTGGGCCCCGTAGGCGGGGTGCCCCCCGTGGGGGCCGTGGTGGTACTGGTGTGCGTGCTGGACGTGCTGGGGCGGGTGGTAGTGGTGGTGATGGTGGTAGGGGGGCGGGCTCTGCTGCAGGTGGCAGTACTGGCTGTGGTGCCCGTGCCCTGGGCCCGCGAGGGGGCCCTCCACAGGCCCCTGGGGGTGGCTGGCCATGGGGTGTGGCGGGTGGGGGGGCGGCTGGGCCTGGGGAGGGGGCTTCCCTCTCTTACTCCCAAACAGGGAGCCCAGGAGGGAGGAGGAGTTGGGCATGGCCTGGTGTGGGCGAGATGGGCAGTCTCGTGGTGATGTAGCTCTCCGGCGCATGTGAGGACTGCTAATGATGGACCCCTAAAAAGGAAATTCATAGAAACCAAAATTAAAAGAGCTTAGAGCACTTACGGCAGAATGATTCTTAAAAAAAAAAAAAATGTTAGAAAGTTTCACCCACTGACTGCTAAGCCTTAGTTCCACGTGCTGGCCACAGAGGCCAGGCCCCGTGAGGCTAGACTCCAGACGCTTCGGTGCAGGGCAGCGGGAGGGGGCGGCGGCCCACAAGGGGCCCTGTGGGGGAGACACGGCGGGGCAGCGCAGCGCTGCTGAGCACTCTGCCTGTGGGGTGGCCCCGCCTTCAGATCAGAGCCCTGAGTCTGCGGGTGTCAGCAGCCTGTGCGGGGCGGGGCGGAGAGGGGCCTGCTCCCCCAACACCCTGCCCTGAGCCCTCCTGGGCCCTCTGAGTGTCTGCCTGCTGGGGGGAGGGGGGTGCCGAGGGCCGCAGGAGGGGCTGGGGGAGCCTCCCCCTGCGGGCGGGCGGGCACCGCCTAGGCGTCTCACTGCGGCTACCTAACGCCAACCAAACACGGTAAGAGAGAACAGAGAGGCCTGCAAGCTGAGCGGAGATGAGAACAGGAATGTCGAGATGGCTGGAGGATGAATGGAACCTCATGAAATCCACACTGAACTCCTCTCTCTCCCGGCTCTCCGCCCCCGAGCTGGCTGAGCAATTCCGAGGCGCCCTGACTGCAGACACACAGCAATCGAACTTCCAGGAAGGAGAAGCGATGGGGATGGCGGAGCGTGGAAGCCCGAGAGGGCGGACCGACAGCGAGGGGCGGGGCCGTGGGGAGTGCGGGGAGCCGGGGTGTTAACCATGCTTAGGGGCCGCGGGGCTGGGGTTAAGCGGAGACTAAACCGTGACATACAGACCCGGACCCGCCCCCACTGTTCCAGCCCCCACAAGCGGTGAGGGGCGCGGGCGCGTCTAGGCGGGAGGCATGCACGTGCCAGGCAGGCGGGGTGGATCTGGCCTCTGTTGAGGAGGGAAGGAGGAGCAAAAAAAAAAAAAGAAAAAAAGAGAGACGAGAGGCAAAAACCGAGGACGGGAGGCAACACACGACAGCCAGCCGGACGGGCTCCTACTTACTTCCACATTGCTCTCTAGCGATCCCGCACTGCTGCGACGCCCTCGCTTCCCTGCCCAGAACATGCAATACCAGAGGTTAGACGCGACATAGGCCTGCGCTGCCACCCACAGCCCGGCAGAGCCGGGGGCAGGGCGCTGACGACTTAAAAAGACAAAGGTGTTCTTAAAAAGCAAAAAAAAAAAAAAGACCAAAAAAAAAAATCTTTCCAACCAGGTAAACTTTATCCCCCTCTTGTGGACCGGAAGCCTGAGGGGTGGGTGCCGGGGAGGGTGGGGGGGCGGGAACCCTCGGCCATCCGCCCGGCGGGCCGGCTCCTCCTGCAGCTGAAACGAGCCAAGCGTGGCCCTGCACTGCCCTTCGGTGGATTTCACGGAGGTATGTTGCACATAGGCACAGGCACGCACACACTGCCTTCTACCCGCAGGGCCTGGGGGCTCTCAGGAGACGAGCTCCAGGTCCCCTCTGGGGCCGTGTTTGCCTTGTGCAGTGTCTGGCTGGGGGCATGGGTGGGCCCGCAGACCAGCTCTCCCCTCTGTGAGCGCCAGACCCCCAGGACGCCACACGCCTTCCAGGCCGTGACTCCTCACTGACACGCCTCCGAGTGCCCCGCATGTGGCGCAGGGCAGGTGGGCAATCCGCGCTGGCCATGCCCAAGGAGGCTGAGTCTTCCTCTTGGTTCTGGAGGCCGGAAGCCCGCCCCATTCTCCAAATGACTTCTCCGGGGGTTCCTGCAGGACACCGAGGCTGTCGGGGATGATGGTGCTCCAGCTTGAGGGCTCGGCCAGGTCCAGCCTCCAGCCAGCTCTTGGGGGCAGAGGAGGGACTCCAGATGTTCTTCTGGCTTCCACAAGCCCCACCGCACGGGACAGGTGCCCTCTGTCCACGCCAGGAGGAGATGGAGGCTCTGACTGATGGACTGAGCGACTTTGTTCCCATGGTGAGCAGTTTACACCGCATCCGCCTGTCCACGTGAGGCGGTAGACCTTGGCCACGCTGCCTCCGAGCTGGACCAGCCCAGGCGCCCAGAAGACGGAAGGGGTGGCCTCGTGCCATGGTGTGGCCCATGCCCCTACCTGCGCTGGGCAGACAGGGTGTGTCTGGACCCTTTGGGTTAAAACGGTGGCAGCTGCACGTGCCCACAACAGCAGGCTGAGGGGGGTGTCCAGGGCCTGGGTCTTCACCTGCTGACCCCCAAACTTGAGTCCAGCTGGGAGCCTGGGGTCCTCTGAAGGTGGTGCTGGGCCCTGGCCCCAGAGCCCACAGGACTGGGCTTCACAGTGGATGTGGATGCTGAGGACCACGGACACGGGCCCTCGTCCCCAGCTGAAGGAGACCGGTCCCTCCTCATCTTTGAGCAGCTGTGAGACGAGGGGCGATCTCCCCTTCCTGCCTTGTCTCAGCACAGTAGCGCGGGGGCATGGGCAGAAATAGAGTCCCCAGCCTCCGGAGGGGGTGACCCCCTCCAGCACCCTGCTGACTCTCCGCCTCTGTGTCCCCGTCGATGAGCCAGGCCGGCCCTGCTTTGCCCTCCAGCCAGCCTGCTTCTCCCACCAGGACTGGGCCAGGCCCGGGCTTGGTGTGGGGGCATCAAAGGCTGCCCCCTGGAGCTAAACAGAACCCCTCCTGCCCACTGTAGCCCAAGACTCAGGAGGGCTCTCACTCGGACGTCCAGGAGGGAATCTGGCTTTCTTAGAACTCATCTCTTCGACTTCGCAGGTCAACAGGAGATACGGGATGTCCCTGCGCTTGTCTGCGCTCCAATCCCGGGCACGCCCATGGACATCTGCCCCCTGGAGACCACGTGCAGGCGTGTGCACACGCACACCCCATCTACTGATGGAGGGGGAAGGGCCGGGACTGCGCAGTCCCGGGGGCCCCCGTCTCGGAACCCTGCACGAGCCTCAGGGAGCGCCCCGTCCTAGCCGGTGCCTCCCAAGGGCCAGAGCAGGCCCGGTCAGCCTGACCACGGCCAACTTGGACGCCACATCTGGATGGATGGATGGTGTGGCTCTTCACAGCCTCCGGGCTTCTCGGTGGTGGGACAGCAGCCAGCAGGGCCCCAGCCCAGGTCTCACGCCATGGTCCTCGCAATGGTGAGGGTGACAACAGCTGGCACGCTGGGCCAGGCCCGCCCCCCCCCCCAACACTCTGCAGGCAGCAGCTCTCATAGACCCTGGGGGCAGCGCTTGTCCCTCCTGCAGCCGGGGAATGGAGGCTCAGAGGAGTGACTTGGCCTAGACTGGCAGCCAAAGCCCCCTAATCAGCATGCTGCGTGGGCCCAGCTAGGCTCTGCCTGGAGGCCCTTGGGATCCTTGATCGCAGGCTGGCACGGCTCTGGCACCCCTGAAACAAGCAAGGGCCCTGGCAGAGGCGGAAGGGGGACTACATGGACGGAGACTGGACAAGACCTCTCAGCTGAGCGGGAGCTGGGTCAGGGCCGCGTCCTCCTCTGGCTCTTGGCAAGCCGGCTGCCTGGGTCCTGCTGAGCCATCAAACCACGCCTGCCTCCCTGGTCCCTGAGGTTCATGGCAGGCTGAGGCCCCGTCCCTGGGGTCCTGGCTCTTGGATGGCCGGGTCGTCGTGGGTCTGGGGCAGCCACTCTGGGAGCAAGGACAAGCCCCCGCTGGGTGTCACTGGCCCTCCGCCTGGGCCATCCTCTCCAAGTCCCTCTTGGCTGGGCACGCAGGCGGGGATGTCACTGCCTTGAAGCGCTTCTCCCTGACCCTGTCCAGCACAGGGCGCACACCTGTGGCCTCTTCCAGGAGGTGGCTGACGCTGGCTTTGTCTTCCTTTGGAGATGGCGGGTGGGGGGCCTGTCCCAGGCGGCGACTGAAACACCTGCCGAACCTCACCTCCCACCGTTGGGAGCAGGTGGCTTCTTCCTGGGGACCCTCTTTGGCGTAGGGTCCAAGGACTCTGGCTCCCTGCAGTCCTTCTTGGCTGAGAATCCCCGACAGAAACCAGCCAGAGCTCAGAGCTCGGCCCCTCACCCAGCCGTGCACCGGGCACACGGCTCCGTCTACAGAGAGCAGACGCCTGGGGTCCTGACCGTCAGCAGCCGGAGTAACTGGCCAGTTGCACTGAGGCCGCTCCTACCCGGGGGGCTGGACGGGGCCCCTGGCAGCCCCACTGCACAAACCCAAACACGGGCCCCGGGCCCCAGAGCGATTCGGTTACGTCTAGCTGGGTGTCACGAGCCGCGGGAAAACCAGCGGTTCTCAACCATGGCCACGCTGCCAGCCAGACTCTGCCCTCTCCCTGCCGAGGGCGCCCGGCAGTCTTCAGGGAGGTTCCCGATTGCCGTGACCGGGGTGCGGAGGCATCCTGCGCGGAGCGGCCCCCAGGGCAGGGATGGCCCGGCCCAGGAAGCCAGCAGAGCCGGGTTGAGGAGCCCCACTTGACTCTCACGCTGGCCATGCACTTCGCATTTTCACGATGGAAAGAAAAAAAATGATGAGATAGAAGCAAAGGGAAGAATCCAACTCAAAAAAAAAAAGAGAAAAAAGGGGAAAACTTCTGAGAAACGAACATGCTGAAGGGACGAAGCGCTGCTGCGGGGGGGGCGGGGGTAGGGATGGGATGCGGTCTCGGGCAGCTCTCTCTGGGGGCCCAGAGCCGGCCACGCAGTGATGCCTGAGGCGGCTGGGCTGGGCTGGGCGAGCGCCTGGTGGGAGAGGGGCTGCTGGGCCCCGGGGCAGGGGGAGAACGCTGGTCTCAGCCCGAGAGGGTATCCCCCCAGCAAACCCAGGTCATGTCGGGTCCTGGGGCTGGGGCGCGAGTCGAGGGTCCCTGGAGCCTACAGCACTGGGTTGGCCACATGCCCACGTGCGCAGCTGCCTCCACTCCACGCTGACCCAGCCTCTTCCGGGGAGGAGCTGCCTGGCCTGACACATCTCGTGGGGGATGAAAAGGCTGCCCCCTGCAGCCCATGGCGCGCCCCCCCCCCCCCCCCGCAACAGCCCCCGCAAGCAAAGCAGGCTAGGGCAGCAGGCTCCCTGCCCCCACCACCACTGAGGTCCAGCGCCCCCTGATGCTCCAGGCACACCCCCGACCCCAGGAGACCCAGGAGACCCAGGCGGCTTGTTTTCAGGTTAAGAGGCCGGCAGCAAACCACACACACACACAGACAAGGAAACGACTTCCGCCAAGGCTTTCTCCCCTGTCGCCTCTGGGCTGGACGGAGGCCTGGGCTTCCCGGGAAGGGGGCCTCTGCCGGGAGAGCAGGCCCCGGGACCGCGGGCGACGATGAGGTCCCAGACATGGCGCAGCAGGCATCACCCCCTGCCCTCGTCAGCGTGAAGCGGGGGGCACGGGCAGCGCAGGGCGACAGGGCCCGGCTCACACTGCGCGAGAGCCAGGCTCAGGAAACGGAAGGGCAAGTAAAAAGCGGGGGAGACGGGGTACCCGCCCAGCTGTCCTGCCTGGGGCCTCCGGGGGATGCCCTCCCCGCCTGCTTAGATGCTGCGGTGGGTTGGAGGTGGCCACCCGGACCCGCTCAGTCCGAGGCCCTCCACCGCAGTGGTCCCCACCCCCCGGCCACATGCAGTGGAGCCCCCAGTGTGCGCTGGGTGGGGGGCAGTCTGGGCCCGACTCTTACCCGCTTCTGAGAGGTCGCGCAGGGAGCTGCTGAGAGCGCTGCGCTTGAGCCCCTCGCCGCCGGCGTAGCTGTCGTCCAGGCAGGCCCGGCTCAGCGTCCCGCCCCCTGGCTCCTTCTTGAGGGTGGAGCACTGGGACATGCTGGGCCGCACGACGCCCTTCTGCTTCTCCAGCTCCGCTGCAACAGAGCGCCCGGGCCGTGAGGGGAGCAGGGCCCCGGCCCAGGGCGGGCGGGGGGGCAGGGGGCGGTGGATGGGGGTGGGCAACCATCAGGAGGGCCACGCGGAGGAACAGAGGAATGGGGGGTGTCTGCTCTGGGTGGCACGGGGCCGAGCCCCACCACCTCCAGGGCTGGCGGGGAGACGGAGGATTGAGGTCATCTGGTGAGGAGCTGGAGTGACGCCCCCCCACCAAGCCCCCGTGACCGAGGGAGACCCTCGGTGGGAGGCCGCAGAGGTCAGACGCTGAGGCCTGCAGGGAGCTCAGCGACTCTGGGGGGAGACTGAATTCCTGGGTCTAGAGCGGAGCCAGGCTAACCCGGCCCAGCCGTGGATGGAGGCTGGGGAGCAGGGGACACTCATGTGTCCCCCGGAACATGAACACCCAAGGAACGAGGCTCAGAGCCGGGGGGCGGGGGGGCCAGGAGGGCTGTGGTCTCCTCGGGGCCTATGGTGCAGTTCCCCGGGCAGGAAGGGCTCCCACCCGCAGACCCCTGCCCACTGCCCTCCCCTCCGTGCTCCTCCTGTGGCCTGGGCGGCGGGGCTGTCCGAACACGTGGCCGCGGGAAGCCAGAGGGGCCGAGGCTCGGGAGTCACAGTGGCACCGCAGCCTCGGCTACAGACGGGAGGCAGCGCCCGTGCAGCCCGCCGCCCCCCCGCCCCCCGGCGGCCACGACCGCAACCAACCCTCTATCCTGTGCTTCTCCATCTCCTGCACCTCCGCGATAGACTCTCGCAGGTCATCAGTGAACTTCTTGCGGTCTTGAGGGTTGGGGGCGTTGAAGTTGATCAGCACTTTGATGTCAGCCCCCGGGACGGCAGACGTAAGCCGGATGCCGTTGGGGTAGTCTGCAGGGGACGCGAGAGCACAGGCCTGTGTGTGGGCGCCCCGCCTCCCCTCGGGCCGGCGTGTCCACGGGGCTCCCAGGATGCGCCCCCACAGGGAGGATGTGGCGCTGCTCGTGGGGACCACCAGGCAGCCCCCCGCTCCCGACCGGGGTCCCTGCTGCTCCGTGTTCGAGCCGGGCTCAGATCTGGCTGAGCGGAGGCAGGGCCTGGCCCTGGTCCTCCCCCCAGGACAGGCCTGCAGCCTGGACCCTGAATGTCAGGGTCCTCGGTCACTCTGCCTGGGACGTGAAGCTGGCCAGGCGCTGAGTCTGGGAGGAGACGGAGGCCGTGTCCCCAGTCGCCTGTCCTGTCACCTTGGGCGACGCTGCTCTCTACTGCCTGGCCTCCATGCTCCCGGGACCCCCCGCCCCCAGCTCCCTCAGGTGACACTGTGGGCGCCCCACAGCTGACAGCATCGTCTGCTCCTTCCTGCCTGGGGCCGCCTCCGAGCTGTCAGGGCTGTGGGGTCCTGGCGCCCCCTCCCTCATCAGAGGGGATCGAGCGCCCACCAGCCGGCATGCGACGGTCCTCGGCCCGGAGGACAGTCCCATCACAGCTCAGACCTGCTTCAGGACCGCAGGCTCCAATGCTTAGAGGCCTGAGCAGGTTTCCTAAATAAAATCGGGATGCGGGCCAGGGGAGACTGAGCAGCTTGGAGAGCCTGTCCACCGAGTGGGGACGTGGGCCTCACGAGCCCAAACCTAGCTTTCGGGAGAAGCCAAGGACAGCTGAGCCCTGCGTGACGATCTCAGAACCAGTCCAATAAAACAGAAGACAAAGTTCAAACCGAGTCTAACCTAAGTGGGCCGGGACTGACCGGGAGCTGCCTGTGTGAGCCCCGGGTGCCTGAAGGTGACCCTCTGCCTGAGGACCTGGTCTGGTTGGGCTGTTCCCAGGGGGTCCCTGCCACCTCCACCCCTTCCCTGAGGGGTCTGCTGGACACTACGGTGCGCATGGCACCAGGTTCTCCAGGGGAAAGCAAGGCAGGGGCAGCCTTCCAGCCTGGGTGGGGGGGCGATGGCCGGAGACATCAAAGACCTGGGCCACACGGCCGCCAAGGCCAGAGCGCATGGACCCGGGGCCCTGGTGGGAACCTCGGCAGCCCCTCAGGTGTGACCCTCGCCCGACTGGTCAAACCCACACATCACCAGGGCTGTTTACTGCATGTCTTTCCACCCACGTTTTGTTTAAATGAACTCGCTCTGCCCTAAATGTAAAAATCTTATCACCTGCAAGAAGTTAACGGTGAAAGTCAATGTGACGAGCCCCACGTCTGATTATATGAAATGCTCCCTGGTTATTACTCGGAGCTTGCAGCCGGCCCTCTGTTGATAAAAGTGGAAACACGAACTCCGGGCGCTGGGACCCACTTACACTGGTTTTCGAAGAGCAGGACCTGCATGCCGTACAAGGAGAAGGACTGCCGGAAGCTGTACGTCACCGAGTTCTTCTTCTTCTGGAAGATCTTGGTGACCTGGGGGCAGCCAGATGCAGAGGCTGAGCCCCAGGCCCGCAGTGCGGGGTACCCCACGCACTCAGGGTTCTCGCAGCCCCCGGGGCCGTGTTCTCCCCGCAGCTCTGAGGCCAGCAGGCTCCCGGGGCAGCGCAGGGCTGGCAGGAGGACCGACACTCGTGCCCGCGGGCCCCACGCAGCACAGTGGAACCCGCTGAGGGCCGAGTCGGACGGCGGAGGACACCAGGCCCAGAGGTTTGCAGTGACTCGCTCAAGGTCAGGGGCTCTTAAAGGACTGGAAGCCGCATGTCTGGACTCCAGGCTCGGAGGCCTGACAAGAGCGGCTGGTCCTCCGTCGGGCGGGGCCAGGGGCCAGGGGTCCCAGGGAAGGAGTGGGCTGCGGGGCCATCTTCACCCCGAGGCTGCCTGTTCTGGAGGCAAGGGTTCAATGTCCTCTTGGGGAGCCCCCCTCTGCCGCATCCGGCCCTCCAGTCCTGGGGCTGAGACCCGGGCCAACCGGACAGCACCGCACTTGCCTGCCCTGGGGGGCGGCTCAGGGAGCCGCGAGGCCTCTGCTAGGAGCGTCAGGAAAAGGCTCCCTGGAGGCCGAGGGGCCGGGACAGGCCCGGAGCCGTGGAGGCCGAACGCTCTGTCCTGGAGGAGTCAGCCCGAGACGCCGGAAGTCTGCGCACCCAGCCCCGCGCCCATGGGCTCACGTACCACCAGGAGGTCGTTGAACAGGAAGATTTCGCGCTGGTGCAGCCCGAGCTTCTGGGGCTTGTTCGGGTCCGGAACCTCGAAGAGCCGGCAGTAGCAGACGAGGCGGCGGTGTGGCAGCGACAACACCTGCGCAGAGGGGCCGCGTCAGCCCGCGCCCCGGCCGGGGACGCCTCCGTGCCCGCCGCCCTGCTTCAGGGAGACCGCCTTCCGCCGCTCTCAGCGCCAGCTCGCATGGGGCCCTGGTCCCGGGAAGCCCCCCGAAGCGCCCCTCTCATGCAGCCCGAGACCCCCAGCTCCCAGGCCCTCCATCCTGAAGGATCTCAGCCCCGACGTCCAAGTCTGGGGGGCTGTGTGGGGACCTGAGCAGGCGGTCGTCACCCCGAGGGGGTGGTCTCCGCCCTCTGCACACACAGCCCTATAGGGCCGAGCTCGGCCACCCGCAGGGACACGGGAGGGAATGCGGGCCCAGCCTGGGCCCTCGGGTGCGGGAGACAGGACGGCAGAGCGCGGGGCTGGGGGGCCGGGTCACACAAGTGACAGGGGTCCTGGGCCCTGACCTGGCAGCCAGCGGAAGGGACCGGGGGGCAGACCTAGGCCAGGTGGGCAGGGGGAGGGCAGGAGGCCTCAGTGCCACCCTAAGGCCATCAGTTCAGGCGCAGGGTCTCAGGGCCGGGGGACAAGCTCGACCAGGCCCAGACGCGACACAGGGAGACCGTCTGCTTTGGGCCGACAGCACAGCCCTCCCTGCGGGGCCGCCGAGATCCGAGGCGGGCAGAATTGTGACAAGCAAACTTCTCATCGCTACGGAGAGTGACTCGTGCACCCAGAGCGGTGGGTCTGGGGGCCGGGAGCTGGGGGCTTGCAGGGAACACAGAACGGGAAGCGGAGGGCACTCACACAGCCGAGCCCGTGGTGCAGGGATCCGATCTATGGGGAAACGGTGAACAGATGACAAGAGAGGTTAACGCCCCACACGCGCTCCAGGGGCCTGGTGGAGACCCCGGGGACACCCCTCCCGTGGCACCTCCCTGGCGCCCTGAGCAGACTCGAGGGGAGCCCAGGGCACCAGGGAGTCACTGCACGGTCCCAGCCGCCGGCTCAAACAAGGCCTCAGGTTCTCTTCAGAGGGACCCAGGGGGAAGTGGCTTAGATGGCCCCACAGGTGATGTAATTCACCAGTCCTGACTGGAGGAACAACCTCCAGAGGCATCAGGGGCTGGCCCGGGGCCACAGGGCTGGGGGGCTCCTGGGTGGTCCCCCACTCCCTCCCCCGAGGCAGGCACAGAGACCACCTACCGGCTTCTTGCCCACGATGAGCTTCTCCACCTTCTGCACCTGCGACACGTGGTCCTCATTGGTCTTCAGCTCCCGCTTCCGGATCCGCTCATAGATCCCGATGAGCATTTCGCGGGGGATGTCCTCCCCGTCGTCTACGCCTGGGAGGGGACAGTGGCCGGCTCACCCCAAGGCACCGTGTCTGAACCACGTCTGGGCAGCGGCGCCCCTGCCCATCTCCCGCTGAGCCACAGGCCTCCCGCCCACAGCTGCTGGGCGGGTCACGCCCATGACTTGTGCTCTCCGAAGCCCAGCTCCAGCTCCAGGCCAGCTCTGCCCCGTGTTAGCGAGGAGGGGCCTTCCAGCCATGCTCAGGGGGCTCCATAAACACTGCCTCGCTTGATCCCACTCACAGCGCTGTGGGGTGGGCCCATGTCCTCATCTGGCCCCTTGTCAGCGTGACACCGAGCCTCTCTGAGCCAGGAGCCCTCCCCCATGATACAGGGCCCCCAGAGAACAGTGACCTCTCGGGGACAAGGGCAGCTCAAGCCTCCTCCCTCTCGGACAGCTCATTGGGTCTGAGTGGCTGCTGTCCCATTTCTGGGACTTGAACCTGGGTTGCTCTGATGACACGCTCATGCCTTTTCTGCTACACGGCCCTGGAAGTGGTGCCGGAAAGACCCAGGCCAGCTCAGGAGAGATGCACGACCCAGCCCTCGGCCCACAGGCTCCTGGGGTGGCGTGCAGCAATGGGACGGCTCAGCCCTCTGGGGGGCTGTCCGGGCCCACCTGCCCCTGCCATGATGTCACAGACCCTCAGATGCACAGAGTGCCTTCGGGGGTCTGGCCCCTGGGACGTGACATGCATCATGGTTCTGCCTCCAGATTGCTGGAGAAGGGAACGAAGCCGTGTGTCCCGTCGGGGAACTGGCTGAGCCGTCCCTGTGGGGATGCCGGGACAGGGAAGGCTGTGTGTCCGCAGAATCGAGGTGAGCAGACACGGCAAAGGCCCCTAGGTTTATGGCTGGGCCTTAACCCAAGAGCGAGGTGCCAAGTGGAAGCGGCTGAAGCCAACCACACGCGTCTGCACCGGCTCCTGGGGGACCTCTGGGAGGCACAGCGGGACTCAGAGCCGACAGACGGCCTCCAGGGAGGGGAGGGGCCCTGCGGTGGACCTTCTGTACTTCCCGGGTTTCTTCTAATTGGCTCTTTTTCCAGGACAGTTTCCAGTTCATAGCAAAACTGAGGGGAAAGCACATCCCAGCTCCCCCACAGTCAGCAGCCCCATGAGAGCGGTGTGTTCGCTACAACTCGGACATGCCCCAGTCAGCAGAGGCCACAGGTCACGCGCGAGTTCCCGCGTGGTGGTGTCCATCCCGTGGGTCTGGACTAACGCGCAGTGACACGTGTTCACCGTGACATCATCACATGGAGACTGTCCACTGCCCCGAACAGCCTCTGGGCTCCTCTCTGCAGCCCTGCCCGCCCCCCGCCCACCACCGGTCTCCTGCCTCACTTCCCGCAGGATGTGATGCAGCTGGAATCAGACTGCGTGCAGGCTTTGCAGAAGCGCTGCTTTCACTTGGCAATGCTCGTTTAAGGGTCCCGCGCGTCTTTCCCAGACTCGGCAGCTCGTTTCTTTGCAGCGCTGAGTGACAGCCCGCGGTCTGGATGGACCAGGGTTTGTGCACCCGCTGGAGGGCAGCTGGGGGCTTCATGGTTTGGGCAGCTGTGAGTCAGCTGTGCACTTCTGTGCAGAGGGGAGTTTCTGACTCATTCGGGTAAATTCCAAGCAGGGTGACTGCTGGGTCACGTGACTCTCTGGTTTCTGAACCACGTGAAGACAGGACCCATCCAAAATGTAAGTTTAAGGAACTTCCCTGGTGGCACAGTGGCTAAGAATCCATCTGCTCATGCAGGAGACACAGGTTCGATCCCTGGTCCAGGAAGATCCCACCTGCTGCTGAGCAGCGAAGCCCGCGTGCCTAGAGCCCGTGAGCTGCCACAAGAGAGGCCACCACGAGAAGGAGCCCGTGCACCGCAGCTGGAGAAAGCCCACGCAGAGCGACAAAGACTCAGTGCGGCCCAAACTGAAATGCGTGAAAGAGTAAACATACGCATATACACATGTTTCTAAATAAAGAAATTCAGAGAGAATGATCAGTAAAAGGAAAACGCCGCCTGTCAGGTGTCCAGGCTCCTCTCCCGCCCCTCCCTGGACTCCCGGAGCCGCGGGGCTGCCGTGCCTGCTGGGCAGCTGAGCGGTCTCAGAGGAAAGGTGTGTCCGGTGTGTGTGCGGCGGGGTGGGGACGCCTGCCCCGAAGACGAAAGAGCTGGGCGTGCGCTCCGTGCAGAGGCGCTGGCCTGGGAACCAGGGGGACGCAGCCACCCGTCCCCGTCGTGGGGCGGCGGAGCAATCCGGTGCACGAACCGCGAGGACGCCAGGGCGGCCGGCTGGCAGCTGTGTCCCGGCAGCCCCGTCTCCCTGAGCCTCTGCCCCCGCGCTCGCGTCACAGACAGCAGAGACCCCGGTTCCATGGCTGAGGCACTAAACCAGAGGAGGAACAGGAGCCCCCAGCTCCTGGGTCACTGGGAGCACGCAGCTCACAGCCAGCTTTCCCACGGGCCATAGGGAGGCCGGGCCGGAGGCTGGGGAGCGGCAGTGCCCGAGGCCCCGGGCGCCCGGCCTGCGGCCCCTCCACCCTCTGGCCCGGTACCTGGGCCTGGGCCCAAACCCTGCGGTCATTCAGAGACCAGAGCTCACGTCAGCCCCAGGACTGGCCACCCCCACCCGACGCCGCGAGGCGGCGGCTCACCGCGGAGGTTCTTGACAAAGTCCTCCAGCTTCATCTTGCGTTCGGGCTTGACGCTGGGGCTGTACATGTCGGTGTTGAGCAGGATGATGGCGAAGGCCAGGATGAAGATGGTGTCGGGGTTCCGGAACTGCCGTACCACCCCGGGGTTGCAGACACAGTACCGCTGGCTGGGGCGGGGCGGGGGGCGGGGCTTCAGCCGGGGCGGGCCAGCCCACCCCTCGCCCACCAGTGGCCGCAAACACCCGAGGCTGGTCACCCGTCTCAGAGACTCTGTGTCTGCCTCGGGTACACGGCGGGGACCCCCGACCAGCGGAGCTGGCCCTTCCCGTCTGCCCATCTGCTGGCCAAGTGAGTCAAGTCCCCCCCACCCCCCAGATGGATGGTGGCTGGCTGCTTGGGGCTGAGGACCACATCCCTGGGCCCCCTCGGAGTGCTGGCTGATGGGAGGCTGTGCCCTAAAGGCAGGGTGGGCCCTCCACGCCCTCTGTCCTGCCCAGAGTAGAGATGGACCTGCCCTGGGGACCTCAGGTGAGGGGAGCCAGGACTGCAGTTCAGAGGGCGGCCCAGCTGCCGCCTGCTACTGCAGCACCTTTGCTGTGGCAGCTGAACTAACAGCCTCGCTAACACACAGCCTCCGATATGCCCCCACGCCTTCCCAAAGCCCCTTCCACTGGCGCCCTTGTGGGGGGCTGGGTGGGTAGGGCAGGGATGGAGAAGAGGAACCAGGGGGAGTACCGCGACCTAAGCTCAGAGGCAGCAGTAATCAGAGCTTAGATAGCGTGGGCTTCAATTTTCTCTTCCCTGTTAAGAGCTGCCCCTTCCAGGAAGCCCTCCTGGATGGACGTGTCGGAATGCTCCCCTACCAGGGTCTGGGGTCTCTTCTGTGTGTGACCTTCTCTTCTGCGGCCTCACCACCCTTGCAGAGACCAGGGGCTGGGCCTCACACGGCAGCGTGCACAGCCCCGGCGTGAAGGAGGGCTGCAGGGACTCGCTTACAGGCTCTCTGCGGTGCCAGGCGCTGGGCTAAACATGCCCACACATCCCGAGTGGTTCACCCACCCAACCACTCCAGGGTGGGTGCCATCATCCTCCCCCTCTGCTGGTGACGAATGAAGCGCAGAGAGATTAAGTGACCAGCGCAAGGTCACACGGCCGGCATGGGGCACAGGTGTCAGAACCAGGCTCTCTGTGTCTCTGAGCGTCTGCCCTGTGACGACGCTGATGGATTCGGGAGCCAGCGTCTGAGGCCCAGGCTCCAGCACTGGGTCGCATGGCGCCTGGCACCCAGGAGGGGCCCCCTGACTCTGAAGGGGGATTCTGCCCTCGGGGCCCCGGCCTCTGAGAGGGGACCGCTTCCCCGCTGGCCCGGCCCGCACCTGAAGGCCTCGATCAGCCGCTCCACCTTCTGGGCCTCACCCTGCACCCGGATGTGCGCCTGGAACTTCCTCAGGGCCTCGTCCAGCTCCATGGCGGAGAAGTCCATCTCGTCCACCACGCAGCTGGAACGAGAGCCCGCGGCCGGTCAGCGCCCCCGCGTCCTCCCGCCGGGGACGAGGGCTCAGAGCAGGGAGGCCTGGAGGGAGGCTCTCCCAGGCCCTTCCGATGGGCATCAGGGGGGCGGTGCCGTTCCCACCCGCTGACCCGCAAGGAGGGCAGAGCCGGGGAGCCCGTGGGGGGCAGGTGACTCTGGCCGCGGCCCCGCCCCCAGCCTGACCGGGCCCCTGAGCAGAGAAGGTGGGTCTGCACCGGGGACCCTCCAGTGAACACCTGGTGGGGTTGCAGAGGTCCCGGTGTCCACTCCCAGGGACCCCGTGCGCTGGGGCGATGCTCCGAGCACGCTCGGCCAGCGGGGCAAGGAGGGGGTGGGGCCCCACGGGACTGTCTGCTGACCAGCGTTCGAGAAGGACGCCTGTGGGGGGCGGGGGGGGGTCTTGCTACTTCCTGAGGCCGCCACTATTTTCTGATCTAAGGAGAACAATGCCCGGATTTCCTATGGACCAGCAGCGGCTTGAGGCATGGGGGTGGGGGGTGAGGGGGTGGGCACAGGGCCGGCTGCAGGCCAGGGCCTGGGCTGGATGTTCATCTTGGGCCCCGTTCATGGAGGAGCGAATCGGTGCTCCTTGGACAGGTCCTCCCTGGTTTCAAAGGGGAGGGGACGCCAGCCACACGATGCGGGGGGCGCGGGGCGGAGGGGCTGTGGGGGGAGCAGCCGGGGCACAGGCTGCCTCTCCAGGGTGTCGGCGTGTGACCGAGTGCAAAGCTGTGTGTGTACACGGGTGTGTGTGCCCGTGGGGGCACCCGGGCCGAACCCCCCACCCCGGAGCCTGGGTCTGCTCACCTGTGAAACAGGCCTCCCCCCGGGCGCCAGAGCGGCGTGTGCACGTGGCCAGCCCGCCCGGCCACCGTTACCGGGGTCGCTTCTCCTCTGCTCTGACCCTGTGCCTGGCCCACCGGCCAGCTCGTCCACCCCGTGTGGGGCCTGGGTGCCCACAGCAGGCCTGCAGCCGTGCCCCAAGTCCTGGCCAAGGGCACCCGCTGAGCCACCTACTGCTGGTTCTGGCTCCTTGTCTGTGGAGGGGGCTATGGACCCCGACACCCGCCGTGGGTGAAGTGAGGACAGGGCCTGCACATAGTGCCCGCCCAGTGACCACAGGCCCCAGACACGGAACCCTTCCTCTCAGGACAGACTGGGGGAGGGTCGGGGGTGCAGGCAAGCCTTCTCAAAGCTGCCAGCGGTTCCCAGGGGCTGGAAACCCCTTCTCCTGCAGGGTCTGGGACCACCAGCCTGGTGGACCATCACCCCATCTCCTGGCAGGAGAGGGAGGAGGATGGGGCCTGAGCTGGGCTGGCTGCCCGTGCTGCACCGCAGGACGTCAGCACGGAGGCCACGGGACCAGGGGTGGGGCTGGCCCTGCTGGACGGGGCTGGAGGTGCCTGGGATCTGTGTGCGTCTGGGGGAGAGGTGGTGGGACCCCCGCCCCACTGGAGGTGCCCAGGGCCCCGTGCGTCGGGGAAGAGTTTGGGAGAGGCAGGCGACTCACTCGAGCACATCGCGGTTGAACTGCTTCTGCCGGTTGCCCAGGAACTCGCCGATCATCTGCCGGCTCAGGCCCTTGCGCTGCAGCAGGAAGTGGGCCACCCCCACCGGCGTGTCGGGCACGAAGCCGCGCTCGATGAGGTACTGGACGCCCTTCTCGGGCTTCCTGGGGGACGAGAGACAGGCTCAGCTGGGCGCGCCTGCCCCCGCCGCCTCCGCGGCACCCGGTCCTGTCCCAGCCTGACTCCACCATCCGGGGCACCTGGGACCGTCCAGGCCCCACGCCCAGTCTGGGCCAGCGAGGGGCAGGCACAGAGTGGCCCCGCCCAGCACACGCTGACCACCCGAGGACAGGCTGGACAGCCGGCACCCCGAGGACCCCCCACGCCGGCTCAGCCCCCACGCCGCCCCCAACTGCCCAGGCCCCTGACAGCTGCATGGCCTCCCAGAGCCGGGACCACCCTTCGGGACGGGTGTGTTAACACGGGCGGGCGCCTGGAATGTGGCGCACAGTAGGTAAGAACCTGGAGGTTTAAGATAAACCTCCATGACACCAGAGGACACGGAGGCCCAGAGCCGGCTCCCGCTGCGGTCAGAGGCCTGGGAAGGGGCTGAGTGTCCACTCGCCCTGGGACCCGGGGGCCTCTGGGGACTGGGCAGTGAGCCAGTAGGCCGCTCCCTCGGCCCGGACCTCGGGGCCTGGTGCCAGCTTGGCTGACCTCACGGGAAGGTGCCCGTGATCAGAAGAAATAGGGCAGGAAAGCAGGAGCCTTGGACGGGCCTGGAGCCCCTGCGGGGCACTCTGGGGGCATGGCGGTCAGAGCCAGGGCTCCCTGTGGTCGCGTGCTGATGGCAGACCCTGCAGACCTCGTGTTTCTACGTGTGGGCCGGCCTCCAGCTGTGAGGGGACCCTGCTATCAGCCTTGCGCCCGAGCTTGGCAGAGAGCGACCCGCGGGGCCGCTGGGTCCTGGCGCAGAGGGGTGGCCCAGGGTCCCCATTCCCATCTGGCCACAGGTGCTGATGCACGGACAGCTGACACCACCTCACTGCTGGCCCCCTGGCCCCCGCCCCCAGGGGAGCCCACGGTCTTGCAACACCCTCACAACGTTAACAAAGCAAGTCCAGCCATCGCCAACGTTTAGAAATCAGGAGCTTGGACAGAGAACCTGGGTTTCCGAGATGGCCTGGCATCCTTGGGCTCATATCCTGTGTGGCAACGGTGGAAGGGCAGGCTTGGGCTCCCCTACCCGTGTGCCCCCACCCTCCCCCCGGGGCCTGCCTGGCCCCTGGGGCCCTGGCACGTGCCCTGGTCCAGCCCAGCCTCCTGCTGCTGCCCTGGGGCGTCCTGAGCTCCCCTCTCTGCCCTGGTTGCTCCTCCCGTGTTCACATGCCAAGGTCACCCAGCATCGTGGCTGCCGGGTACCCCCCCCAATCAGGAGCTCGCAGCTCCATGCAATGGGGACGCCCCTGGTTTAAGTGAGGCGTGCCAGCTCTGTCCGGTGGCGCTCCGGATGGTGGGGCTGGACCAGGCCGGCCCTGCGCCCAGCGTGACTGCTGCTGCCCCCTGTCTGGGGGTCAGGCGAGGGCTGAAGGGGCTCCTACAAGGGAGGCAGAATGACCAGAGGGGTGGGGGAGCTTCCTCGTGGGGACGACAGCGAATGCAGAGGCCCTGCGGTGGGCATGGGTTCTGCAGGATCCCAGGGCGTGAGGCTTCTCCAGGGCTCAGAGTAGGGTCTGGGCAGGAGGCCAGGGGGCGGTGGGCAGCCCTTGGGGTTGTCTGTCCCCCCTGGAGCGGGGATGAGAGGCCCGGCATGCTCTGAACAGGGCAGGCGTGCACCCTGGGGGCCCTCTGCCTGCCCTGGGGGTTCCAGCTAGGAGCCTCTGGCAGTCGGGGGGGAGTGGGGGTGACTCGGGAAGCTTAGGACACGGTTTGGGGGCAGCAATGATGGTGTTCGCGCTGGTGAAGCCGCGGGTGAGCCAGAGGGCTCCGGCTCTCGGCCTGAGCGGAGGTGAGAGCAGGCGCGTCCACTGGGCAGCTGTCAGAAGACACTGCGGGATAGGAACCTGGATTAAGCAGACTGGGGCAGAGACCAGGAGCTCCCAGCAACCGAGAGGACGGGGGCTGCAGCCGGAGGTCAGGCAGGGGGCTCGGGGGTCTCCTGGCCCAGGCGGCACATGGCTGGCGAGTGGAGGACTCCCTGACCCTGAGGAGCCAGCAGTGGACACTGCTCCTGGGTCCCCGGCCTGGGGGACGCCGCTGGCTCCCAGCTGCCCCAGGCGTGCTCCTGGGCGCCCTGCCCCTCAACGGGCTCGGCGGTGACCGGAGGAGGAGCCCACACGCCCGGGCCCTGGGGCTGGAGGCACATCCGGACGCCAGGCGGAGGGCGCGGCCCCGGGGGCGACCCTCCCGGCCAGCCGGCCTCCCTGTCACAGGTTTCTCTCGTTTCCTCCCCGCTCAGCCGCTTGGGACCCGTCACTCGGACTCCAGGTGACCCCAGTGTGGGGGTGCAGGCTGTGCAGGCCGCCTGGGGCGAGGTGGGGGTAGGGGCCTGGGGGAGGGAGAGCTGCAGGGAGAATGTGGTGGGGCGGGGGGGCGGTGCTGAGGCGGGGGCCGGGCCGGAAGGCAAGGACTGCGGTGCCAAGGCCAGGCCTCCCGGGGCGGGGCCGGTCTCAGGCAGGGCCCACCAGGACCTCTGCGCTCCGCCACCCTCTCGCCGGCGGCTTCGTGGCCTGCCTGGGGCATCTGGCCCCGCACAGGGTCGGACCACCAGCCCTCTCTGGGCCCGGGGAGGCTCCGGGCAGGCAGCTGGCGGCCACAAGGCTGGGGTCTGGCGGCCACACACCCCCTCTGCCCCGCCGCCCCCCCGCCAGCAGGCTCTGCAGTCCCGGGTCCGTCCTGGGACGTGGCCGCCGAGCCCCTGCATTGGGCCCAGCCAGGGCAGCTGGACAGACTGTGAGAACTAACACACGCCCTGCGGCCCGGCCTCACCCCTGCCCCTCGACGTGTAACAGGCTGAGGCCCCCCGGTCGCAGGGGCTGCCGTGGAAAGTCCACCAGGGGTTTCCACAGTCTTAACGAGCTGATTCCACAATTGGTGTGGGAGAGCAACTGCCGACAAGAGCCAGGACCACTTAAAAGGACAAAAGAGGGGCTTCTGCCCTAAGAGAGCACGTAAAACTGAACGCCTGATGTGGCCAGAGGAACAGACAGAGCCCCTGACCACGGGCGTGGAGGGAGCTTCATGAGGATCTTCTGTTCTGTTCACGGACGCAGCCAGGCCCCCAGCACAGGGCTGGGCCTGCAGGAGGTGTCCCACGAGTGTCTGCCAAGGAAGTGGCAGAATCCCAGCACAGACCCTGCTCACGGAGGAATCAGGCGGGACTTCAAGTCAACAGAGAAAGGACAGACTCTTCAATAAACTGTGTACGAACGACCACCTAACTTCCACCAAATAAAAGCTACACTCCTCACCGGTACCATTCTCCAAACCAAACACCAGGCGGACGTACTGAAGAATATAGAACAAAACTACGGCAGTCCTGAGGAAAATACTTTAACTTTAAATACTATGTGATGACCTGGGGTGGAGTCTCCCAAAAGAAAACACAGAAAAGCAAAGTACCAGACAAAGAGAACGCTGATAAACTGACCACATATGTAGACAGACAGGGAGTCGTTGTGCTGTATGCCGGATGCTAGCTTACGTGCCAAGTACATCTCAGGAAGAAAAAATGTAAAAAAGAATTAGTGACTTCTGTTAAACCAACAGAGCATAAAGTTAAAAGGTGTAAAATTAAAACCTGCTGAACTGGACACTTTATAAGGACAGATCTTAACAGTACAAGGATTCCACTTCACAAGTTTTAGGAAAAGGCAGCCAATGACATGAAAACATTTCTGTAATTACAAAGGATCAGGATCCACAATATATAAAGAACCACTAGGACATCGAACCAACCTGGACAGCATATCAAAAAGCAGAGACATTACTTTGCCAAAAAAGGCCCATCTAGTCAAGGTTATGGTTTTTCCAGTGGTCATGTATGGATGTGAGAGTTGGACTATAAAAAAAGCTGAGTGCCGAAGAATTGATGCTTTTGAACTGTGGCGTTGGAGAAGACTCTTGAGAGTCCCGTGGACTGCAAGGAGATCCACCCAGTGCATCCTAAAGGAGATCAGTCCTGGGTGTTCATTGGAAGGACTGATGGTGAAGCTGAAACCGCAGTACTTTGGCCACCTGATGGGAAGAACTGACTCACTTGAAAAGACCCTGAAGCTGGGAAAGACTGAAGGCAGGAGAAGAAGGGGATGACAGAGAATGAGATGGTTGGATGGCATCACCGACTCAACGGACATGAGTTTGAGTAAACTCCAGGAGTTGGTGACGGATGGGGAGGCCTGGTGTGCTGCAGTCTGTGGGGTCACAAAGAGTCGGACATGACTGAACGACTGAACTAAACTGAAATGAAATGAGAAAATCAAAAAGAAAAATAACACAAAAATAAACAAAAAATAGAAACAGGCATTTTGTAGAAGGAAAAACCAAAACGGCCAAAAGACACAAATACGGATGTTCCACCTTAGAAGGAGACAGGTAGATCCAAAGTGAAACAAGAGACACTATCTCTACACTTGGACTGGAGACAGCGCTGAGTGCTGCCCAGAGTGTGGGGAAACGGGTCCCCATGTCCAGCGGCAGGCTCCACTTCAACGAACAGCCACTGGGCGCCCTGCGCCCGGCCACCAGCAGCAAACTGCGTGGCAGCGTCAGAGCAGGACAGTGTGCGTGGCCCATGCCCAGGGGATGTCTGCGGGGGCCAGGACGGCAGGGAGGCACGGGCCGGAGTCTGTGTGCCCGGCGCTCTCTGAGCCCCGTCCACGCAGGCTCATCTCCAGCTCACACACGACTCGCACAGACGAGGCCGCTGCAACAGAGGCCGCACGCACGGGGGGCACGCAGGAAGGAAGGGTGAGGACCAGACCCACGCGCACACAGACATGGGGGGGGCGGGGCGGCTCGTCGTGGCCTGTGGCAGAGGGCTGGCAGCGCCAGGGGGAGTCCAGAGACCAAAGTGCTTGGGCCCGGCAGGCAGCTCTTCCGGCCCTTGCCTGTCCGCCCGGCCGGGACTCCCAGGTCAGGACACGGCACCTGCTGGGGATGAGGGGAGCTCGGGGCCCCTCAGGTCATCCTAGCCTCCCGCAGGAGGGTCTAAGACGCCCCAGGACTGGCGGGGCCCAGAGCAGGCGGGTGGGCTCCTGGGACAGAGTGCAGGACGGCCTCCCTGCTCACACAGCGTTCCGGCCATGGCTTGGGGGCAGATGGAGTCTCAAGGGCTCCCCAGGTGCCCACGATGGCTCTGGGACGCACGGTCCTCAGCAGATCGAGGGCCAGGGACGCCCCCCTGCCCCCAGGGGCCCGGGTGTGACCCCACGGTTCCCCACAGCCGCCCTTCGGGATAGGCCTCTCCGTGTGTCCCAGCTGGGCAGGAGGTGACCCCAAGTCCCCCCACTGCCATCTGGAAGAGGAAGTGGGGGGCTCACAGTGCAGCAGCCATCAGGCAGGCTGGCCACATCCCCTCCACGTGCCCCCTCCCCGGAGGAGCCAGCATGAGGCTGGCGTCCAGCGACACCAAATCCAGAGAGGAGAGGCCTGAGGTTTAGCAGCCAGAGCTGCCAGTGTCCCCAGCATCCCCTCCGTGGGAGCGCTATTTTCAGCTGCGCTAAGAATAGTCTGTGTTAAACACCAGTCTCCCGCCCTCGACCTGCTCTCTCCAGAGCACACGCCCCGCGGGCGTCGGGCCTGCCTGAGTCCTCCTCCCTGACCAGCCTGCAGGGATGCAGACCCGGCCCTGCTCAAAGAGCCCTGGGGCCCGATGACCCCCTTGCCCCGCCGCGCCAGGCCAGGCAGCGGTGGCGGCTGTTGGGGGCACTCACTTGTTGAAGAGGTTGAGGCCGATGCGGTAGTGCCGCTTGCGGATGACGTCGTTGCTGAAGGCGGGCGAGTCCCAGCTGTTGCGGGTCTCCTTGTGGTAGGTCTGCTTGCTGAGCGTCTGCTCGCGCAGGCTGTCGCGGGATGAGGACTCCGAGCTGCAGTTGATGGTGTCGTTGGAGTTGGACGTGCTGTTGAGGCTGTCGTTGTCGCCGTCGGAGTAGTCCGACTCGGACTTGCTCTGCCGGTTGGCCGAGCCGTTGATGGCCAGGTGGGCGTCCAGGGGCCGCGGTGGCCGGGCCCGCGGCTCTGGCTCCTCCCGGGGGAGGCCCCTGGGGGGACCGTGGGGGCCGTGCTTGGGGCTGCCCTGCGGCCCACCCAGGCCGCGCTCGTAGGCGCCCTGCCTCTTGAGCGAGCTGCGGTCCGAGCGGTCGCTGAGGTCGGCGGAGCTGTCGCTGGGCGGCTCGATGGTGAGCAGTGGCAGGTGCTCCAAGCGCGCCCGCGGCTCCAGCGACGGCGTGCTCCGGCAGCTGGTGTCCGTGTCCACCTTGTCGTCCTTGTGGGCCAGCGCCCAGTAGTCCTGGGCGGCGGCTCCAGCCCGCAGCCGCAGGTCCGACTCGCCGCTGGCCGGCCGGCACCCGGCCTGCGCCGCAGGCAGTGGCGGCGACAGCTCATCCTCGTCGATGTACAGGGTGACGTCACTGTACGAGGCGGTCATCTCGTCCAGCCGGCGCTGCTCCGCACTGTGCAGGCTCGACGAGGGCTCGGCGGCGGGCGTGGGCGCCCCCTCCACGGCGTGCAGGCTGCGGCAGTTGAGCGCGTCGTCGATGGACTCAGCCAGCGACTTCACCTGCCGCGAGAAGGCGTCCTCCAGCTCCGTGATGGCGTCCGTGAAGTCGCCGGCAGGCGCGGGGGCCTGCAGGGCAGGTGGGGGCGGCGGGCCCAGGTCCCCACACTCGGCTGGCCCCAGGGAGCCCAGCGGGGTGTCCCCGTCGGTCACCGAGACCTGCTTGCCCTCAAAGAAGGAGCTGTGCGCCTTCTCGGGCCCCTCGAAGGACAGCTGCACCCGCATGTTGGACAGCACGATGCGGCGGGACAGACGCTTCTCAGACATGGAGCTGCGCAGCCGCTCGAAGTTCTTGTTCATCTGGTACTGGCGGAAGGCCGTCTGGATGGTGCGGGCCGCATGGCGGGTCACGAGGCGGCCCCCATACTTCCGTTCTAGCATCTCCACCTGCGGGGGAGGGAGAGGGGCGTGAGGATGGCCTGGCCCAGCCCAGAGGGCAGACCGGGCCCACGCGGCTCCTCGACCCAGGAACCTGCTGGGCGCCGCGCCAATGCGGCTCCTAGATCCAGGGAGACAAAGGAGCGGTGAGCTGCAGTTACAGCAGGTGGTCCCCGCAGGACTTCTCAGAGCCTTTCAAGGGCGGTGGTTTCTCAGACTTCTCTGTCCGCAGCAGCCTTTGCCCTGGCGCACCAGGCCCGTGCAGTTTAATGACACTTAGAGCTGCTGCAGGAGGTTGTAGGCTGTCCCCTGGGAGACAAGGAGACCGTGGCGGGGGCTGGCTAGGAGACCAGCCCAAGACCCGAGTCGGCCCTAAGCACCGAGCGCCGGTCGCCAGCCTGGGCCCTCGTCCACAGACTGACTGTGAAAGTCTGGACCCGCAGCCCCTCCAGCCAGTCAGACCCGCCTCACGGGCCAGCAGCGGGCACAGGCGAGACAGGCCCTCAGCACGGGGCAGAGGAGGCGCGGGACCCTCCACAGCACTCCTGGGAGGGGCGGACACACCCCCTCCTGTACAGATGGGGAAGCTGAGCCTCAGAGAAGAGACCCTACACACCCCTGCAGGCCTCTAGACCCCAGGGCGCCCTCCAGGAGAATGACAGCGGGCCCAGCCCAAAGGCAGGCAGGGCGGTGGAGTCCGCCGGCCCCAGGACCGAGGACGGACCGAGGGCTGCTCCCCACACCTCCCTCCAGGGTGAGGCCAGAGCCCGCTTTCCAGAAGCAGAGAAGACCTGGGATGAGGAGCGGGCTGGCCCACCAACCCCCTGACGGGGGAAAGGCCCCAGGTCCTCGGGAGGAGGTGTTCACACCCCAGGCGCACGGTGCCCCGGTCCCCTCGGTGGGGACGGCACGGCCGCGCCCTCGAGAGGCAGGGTCTGTGCAGAACAGACGGGGCACCGGCTAAGGGCACAAAGCCAGGCAGATGCTGCGGGAACCAGGCTGCAGCCACGGGGAGGAGACGGCTGCCCGGAGCCACCTGGGGGGCGGGCAGGGCGGGAGGGCTCAGAGCCTCACTGGGGGCGCGTGTAGGCCCCAGCTGCCCTGAGGGACGCCAGCTCCCCCAGACGCGGACGTGCCAGCCCTCCAGAAAGCGGGGGCAGCAGAGCGGCCCCTCTCAGGAGAGGAGTTGGGGGCGGAGGGGCGGGATGAGGATCACACCGAGCCTCACAGCCCGGCTGGGACTGGAGGCAGCCAGGGCGGGTCTGTTTTCTCTTGCCTGGAGTTACTGAACGGAGTCCAAAGGGATGACCTCACTTCCACATCTGTGAGCGGTGTCTCTGTTTCCTGGGTTTGGAGTAGAGCTCCGAGAGCCCTCGGGGCCGACGCAGGCCCACGGCTGGGCTCCCGGAAGCCCTCTCCCCTCCACCCCCCGAGACCTGGGTTCTAGGTCCCTTGGGTCTGCTCGGCGGGGGGCGGGGGCCCCTCCTGTCCCGCTGACTCTAGACCTCTCGAACCCAGCAGCGACGCTCTTGGCCTGAGCCAGCCCCCTGGGTTGGGGCAGGAGCAGAAGGGGCTTTAGGGGGCAGGTGTGGGCTCTGCGCTGCTCCTCAAAGCCCTCCAGCCTTCCTACCAGCCTCCCATGGGGACACACTGACCCAGGCCCGCGCTTACTCAGGCCCCCGGGGTCATTCCCCTTGTAGGCCAGAGCTGCCCTGAGCCTCCCTTCTGGGTCAGAGCTGACCCAAGGCCCCGTCTGGATGCTGACTGGAGGCGCAGGGAGGGAGCCCAAGCCATCTGCGCTCGCCTAACGGGTGTCACCCGCCCCCGACCCTGCGTCCAGCCTGCAGACGGGCCCCGGAAGCTGCCCGTTGTGCAGGGGGCAGAGGCTCTGAGTCGAGGCAGGACAAGGAGCCCCGAGGCTGGGCCTCCCGCGCAGGGGAGCCACCACCTTGGGCACTCAGGCCCCCTCGCTGACGGGGAACCACAGGAGACGTGGCGGCCAGGGGCCAGTGGCCACTGCAAGGCCGTGCGCTGGGCTCCTGCCACTAACACTGGCTCTGTGCCCTCCAGGCTCTAAGCCCTCACAGAACCAGGCACCTTGCTTCCACCTGGACATCCCCGTGTCACCCTGCACCCCCGTTTCTATTTTCCCTGCGACCGCCAGGAGGCTCGGCAGGGAGCTGCACGCTCGGTGGCCCTCAGCGTCACCCCTGGCCCCACCTCATCCTGGCCGCCCTTTCCCGCAAGCTCGCCCGCCTCTGGCTTTTGCACCTGCTGTCAGCTTCTCTTGGAAGGCCTCGGCTTCGGTTACCCGGCTCCAAGGGGCCTTGGCAAGGTTCCCCCCATCCCAGCCAAGCCGCCTCCTCCCACAGGCACCCGGCCTCCCTCCCCTTCCTTCCTTCTTGGGGTTCGTATCATCCCTGGTCTGCAATCAACCTGTGTTGTCACAGCTAACCTGTCTCCTGGACCACAGAGTCTGCCCGAGGGCTGTGGCCACATCCCGGCCTCCAGTGACCCCCCCCCCCCCCCCCCGCAGCAACCAGCATGGGGTTTGGCATTCAGCTGGCACTGGGCTAACGTGCGAGGGAAAAAAACGAACAGCTGTGGTCACGCTAGGGCCACGAGAGGCTTATTATTACCTCCACTGGCCTCCGTTTAACCTTTCTCTCTTCTATTTTAATGGCCTTGCTATAGACGTCTGTTGCTATAAACTGTTCTGATCCACTTTGGATCTGGGTGCAGCTGAAAAACGGAACAGAGGCTCCTGTTGTGGACCTGACCACAGGGCCAAACGCCATGGGGCTGGAGAGCCAGGAGGCCAAGTGGGCAGGCCAGGCACGCCCCTCGCTGTGCACACAGATGCCGACCCCGTGGGGGGTCTGGGCCAAGACCCTGGGGAGGAGGCGCAGCCTGTAAGGAGACAGTGTCCCCCCAGAACACGGAACTGCAAACCACGGGGTGGGATGAGTGGCCTGGCCTTCCTGCTGTTCAGAGGACGTGCTGCTTCTGTTGTGAACTGTCCTCCCCCTCCCCCAAGGGCCCCTCCTGCAGACCTCCAAATGTCCAGGCCTCTCCTGGACCCCGGAACGTCACTGGCCACCACTGTGTGCAACCACTGTGTGCAACCTGTGCGCTGGGGGCGTCAGGTCCTGACGCCCAGCAACGGCACGGGGCGGGGTGGGGTGGGGGGAGCAGGAAGTGGGCAGAGGTCAAGGTCAGACAGAACACCCCACGTCTGCCCGTTCCCTCCGGGAGTCGGGAGGAGACCGCGAGGGCAGGGGGATAAGGCCGAGGCCTCAATGGTGGGGAATGGTCCCGGCCTGGCGCCCAGCCTTGAACGGTCCGGGCGGAGCCCCGCCCCGCCCCGCCCGGCCCGCGGCTCACCTGCTTGTCCTGAAGGTCTGAGGAGAGCTCATAGCTCTCGGAGAGGGACCGCGAGCGCTTGATGGCCTCCTCCTCGGCCTGCTTGCGCAGGATGGACGTCGAGTGCTGCAGCCGGGGCCTCCGCGCGCGCTGCTGCTGCCCGGGCGGCCCCGTGTACAGCCCATAGGCGCCGCCCGGCGCGTGCTCGTAGGGCTCCGGGCTCAGGCCCGAGCCGGGCACCAAGGGTCCCTGGTGGTAGGCGGAGGGGCTGTCCAGCGACGTGCCGGTCTCGCTGCTGGGGGCCTCACCCTCAACGCTGCGGAGAGAGCACAGGCCGGAGGTGAGGGGGAGACCGCAGCCCTGGGCCCTGCAGGCAGGCGTCCCGCCCACACCCCGCCCTCCCCTGGGTGGACCCCCGGGGCCCACGGCCACCCGCTGCTCCGCGCCTCCCTAAGGCTCCCCTCCCCTCGTGGAGGCCCTGCTTTTGCTGGACAGCGCCCCGCCCACCCACCCACCTCCCAACAGCTGACACCCAGCCCTGACGGACCTGCTCCCCTTCCGCGGACCCCGACGATGGGCCCCCACGGAGCAGCCTGTGCCCGGGGACGCTCACTGACGGCTCGCGGGTCCCACCCCCTCGCTCCCACGCTCCCACTGCCAGGATTAAGTCCTCTGTTTGCTTTCTGACCAACAATGAACAGAGTGACTTCCCGCTGCATGCCTGCGCCGGCAGGCGCTGTGCGCGGCATCTGTCATGGGCTGATCTTGTTCCTCCGCACCAACATCTGCAAGCTCCAAGCCCTAACCGCTCAGAGCATGTATCTGGAGATAGGCTTTGAGGACAGTGATGGAGGTAAAACGAGGTCACAGGGGCCTGATCCAAGATTAGGGCACACACACAGGGCCGCCCTGCCCCCAGCTCTCAGCATCGTGCTCGTGAGCCACGGCGGGGAAGAAAGTGCTGAAGCCGCCTGCCCTGTCCGTGCTGCTGGTGACCACTGGCCTGGAGGCGGACACGGAGCGTCTTCTCGAACTCTTAAAGCCAGTCCGCGAGGACAGATTCCTCACTCTGTCTCTGGGAGAGCAGACTGACGCCCGCGCAGTGCTGGCTCTGCCCGAGGTCACGCAGGTAGAGCGTGCGTGAGTCGGGATTTAGAGGCCAGGACGGGGGCTCCCCCACCCCACTGCCCTGGTCCCCGGGCCTGTGCGCACCCCTCAACTTTCCAAGTGCCGGTGAGGGCACAGAGTGGGGGTGGTTACTCACCCCACACTCACCGAGGTTCCGGGGCCTTCTGGCAGCCTCTCCGGCGATGCCGGCTACTCCCGGCCCGCAGGGCATCCTAGGATCCCTGGGGCCAGCCTGGCGGTCCTTCGGGAAGGGCACAGAGCCCCACGGGCTGTGGGTGGTCCTTCCTTCAGGGTCTCTTCACCACAATGCAGTCAGCAGCCTGTGCCCGGCCCACCCGCCCAGCTCTGCCCCGCGTGGTCCCAGGCCCTAGGCGGGGCCCTGCTGCCCAGCGTGGAACGTGAGGCCATTGGCTGCCTCCCGGGGGAGGGGCCAGCACGGCCCAGCCACAGGCACCTGTGCCCGGGGCACCTCTCCCGCCTGCTACCAAGCCGGCACGTGCTGTCCGGCCATCTAAGAATAGCGCCGGCCTTCCACTCTGGCCCGCGGGGACGTTCGGTGGGTTTCCTACGGCAAACCTGCAGCCTAGCAGTGGAGGGTGATGAGGGTCATCTCCCGGGGAAGAGCCTTGGGTGCCAGCCCTGATGTGGCCGTGAGTCAGGGGCTCTTGCTCGCCCAAGGCCTGGCTACAGGCCCAGCACCCCTGCTGCCCAGCAGCCACGGGCAGCAGCTTCCTCGGGGCCTCGTGGGCCCGTGTGGGGTGGGGGCCGGGGGCGCCCCGAGACAGCCCTGGATGGATGGCGGGAGGGGCGGGGGCAGAAGCCTGGGGGGCCCTAGGCGATGGTTTCCCCGAGCGCACGTGGCTGATGGCAGACTTCACCTGCCCCCCTCCCGGAGACCCCAGGACCACTCCCCACGCGCCCGCACTGGACACCCTTCCATCAGGGCTGCTCTGTCTCCCAAGAAGAGGGACGCGGCAAACGCAACCATGTCCTTGCAGCGAAACAGCCAGGGCTCAGCTCACCAGGATTTTAAATGGTCCCTGAGCCCCGAGGCTGCAGAAGCCACAGCGGCGGTGGGCAGGGGTGGTGCAGGGCCGGGCGGGAAGACCCCTACCTCACGGCCCGCTTCTGCTGGGGGCGGGGGCTGGGACACCCCCCTGACAAAGAAGGGGAAGGGACTCAGCCCCTTCCCCAGCCTGCACTCACTCGGTCTCAGAAAAATCTGCATGGGTGGAAGGGCTTTCCTCCCGCCTCCTGTGGCCTGTTTGGGGCAGAGGGCGCTGAGGAGGTAGGGGCAGGCGGCCGCCCCTGGACCCTGCGCAGGGCACGGGCCTCCTGTGCAGCTGGGTTCACGGGCGCGCATGCACGTGGCGTCCCTGCTGGATGAGGCTGGAGCCCCCGCTCCAGATCCGATCTGACGCGGATGCACGGGGCCTTTGTGGGGCTGAGCCAGCCCAGGGTTCCTGCTCGGTCCGTGACCCAGCTCCTGACCGTCTCAGGCCAGCAGGTTCCAGAGATGCTCCGGGGAGAGGGCCAGGCCTCCGTCAGGGCCAAATGGATGCGTGGCAGGCACCTGTGAGCCCGACCTCCCAGACACACCCACCCACCTGCCTCTCAGCACCTCCGGGCCGCCAGGGCGGGTCCCCGGACTCTCACCCAGCCCCTCTGCCTCTCCTCCTCCCACAGCAGCCAGACCAATCCCAACAAAGGAGGGGGCACGCCAAGTGCCCCCTCCCGTCACACTGAGTGTGGAGACACCGCCCTCCAGGCCTGACCTCGCCACGGCCCCCCTCCCCTCGCTCACGCTGCTCCAGCCTCACTGGGGTCCAGCCCACAGGGATGGTCCGCTCTTCTCAAAGTGGCAGGCACTCCCCTGCCTAGGGGCCTTTGCACTGGCTGTTCCCGTGTCTTACATCTCAGCCTGCTCCACACCTTCACCTCCTTGGGGTCTTTGCTCAATGCCACCTTCCAAGGAGGCCCCCACCACTCCCTCCCCACAGCATTCCTCACCCCTCTGCTTTCGCAGCGGCGACAGGCTGTATGACGGTACACGTTCCCTGGGTTTCCCGTGCCACCTGCCGCCCACATCGGTGCCCAGGCTCCGTGGGCGCACAGGGCACTTGGCTGCTTCGCTGGGTACACTCCCCGAGTGCCAACACACACATCAGATCAATAGGGCCCGGAGTGGGGCTTCTGACGTGCGCCACCCCCAGTGAGGCCCGCCAGACCCAGAGCAGGGCTTCCGACGTGCGCCACCCCCAGTGAGGCCCGCCAGACCCAGAGTGGGGCTTCTGACGTGCGCCACCCCCAATGCACAGCCCGCCTGCCCCACACCTAACCCGCAATGGTCCCCGTCACCTTGCGGATGCCGAGCCAGCGTCCTGAGCCGAGTCACCAGCCAGTCCCTCCCCTACGTCCACTCCGTGGCACCCATGCCCTCTATTCACCCCCAAGTCCTGCCAACTCTATGTGAACAGTGGCCACTGAGTTGTGTGACGTGGCAGCCTCTGCATGCCCCAAAAATCGAAACCTCAAACCGTCCTGATAAGAAATGGCCAGGCCACACTACTGCGACCAGCACATCACACCGTCCTCCAGTGAACAACTGGATAGAAGCAAGCAGAGCACGCACCATCCTGAGCCAGGGAACATCGCTCCTTCCTGGTCCTGAAGAGAAGCGACATGCTAGACCCCAAGGGGGTCTCCCTAATCCGAGCCAGAGCCCTGGTGAGCGCGTTTACGGGGGGAAACCCGGGTGCTGACAAGCACGCTGGCCTCAATTTTTCAGGACACCAGCTAGACCTGGTCATCAAACTGCAACCCTGCAGATGCCGGAGCTGAATCCACGGAGGCGATGACTCAGGCCCCTCTGTCCTGGCCAGCCCTCAGCGCTGGATGCCCAGGGCGGCCTGCCCCAGGGACACAGGCCGCTGGCCCAGCCCCCAGCAGCCCCGAACACCTCTTCCTCACCACGGTGCTTGCCCAGCGCGGGCTCCACCTCCCGCCACCCAGGAACCCCCTCTCTCGGGGAAGCTTCTGTCTGTCGGCCAGGATTGGACACTCCAGAGTCAGCCCTCAGCTGCACACGGGGATTCGAGATCACGCGCAGACCCCGGGCCACGCGCAGATCAAGGGACGGGCGGGCCCTGTGCACACTGCTGCCGTTCGCCAACCATTCAGAGTTCCCTGGGCGTTCCGTGAGAGTCAGGGGTATGGCCAGCACTCTGGGCAGATGCTCCTGATCCGGCCTCCCTTTCCCAGAGATTCTCACAAAAGGAAGCAAGGCCAGTACGCAGAGGCGCGTGCAAGGAATTCAACTGCTGTGTTATATCTGATTGTAAAAACTTGGAAGTAATTTACGTGCCTGTCAACAAGAGACTGATTTACATAAATTACACATCAATATAATGGAAAAAACGTTAAGAGGGGGGAAGATCTGGCCTGATGGAAGCTCTTGTGAAAAAGAGTGGGGGGGCCTTTCCGGCTGATGCAAGTTTAACACAGGCTGCGAAGCCAGTCAGTGATGCGGAGTGAGAAGCCGGAACAGCCCCGGCCCTGCCGTCCACCGCAGGTTTCGGCTCACAGGGAAAGACGGTCCGGAGCTCCAGGCGGGTTCCGAAGGCTGGGGTGCTCGCCCCCACCTTCTCCCTCGAGCCTGGGCAGTCAGCACTGATCTGTCCCTGACTCGCTCCGGCAGGCCTGCGAGCACCGCCTCCTGCAGGACCACGACGGACGGCGGCTGGGGGCTTGTGCCAACACCAATGGCAACACGAGGCCACCTCCCACCGAGGGCTGGAGCACTCAGCCAGAGACATCTGAGGCCGGCGGCCAAGCCTCTTGTCGGGCTCATGGGCAGAGGACAGGGCGGACGGCTCCGGGGACGGAACTGAGACCCGCGTTGCCCGGCTCGAGAAAGGATGCTCTTGCGTGGCTGAACTGCCTGTCCCTGGAGGTGTGGAAGCCGCAGCAGGGCAGACACCTGTCAGAGTTGGGCAGAAGGACCCCTGCCACTGACGGAGTGACGTCTGTACAGTCAGTACACGGAGACAGGCTTCCAAAAGCCCTCGGCTCGTGGAAAGCGCTTTCTAAGTGCAGTCTCCAGTTCTTCTCTGACCGAGAGGGCCTTGACTGCAGGTCCCAGCAGTGAGAGGTGGGAGGGGGAGGGGGGCCAATCCCCAGGCCAGGGTC